TCACGATGAAGTAGTGTCCCTGGGAAGTGGCTGCCCACCTGGGACTTTATCACCTGGTCTTCATTGCATCACATGTGACCGTGATAACTACATATAGCCGAGAAATCTGAGCAGCAATCATGTGTGACTTTTACAAGTGGTCAGACATTCTCTGCTCTCTCTTTCTCTTTCTGTAGGTTGGAAGCAGAGGACACTGTTGTCCAGGAGGGTGGTGGGGCCACAGATGGAAGAAGCTGGTGTTCTTGAATCATCCTAGAAAGGAAAAGCAAAGTCTGCCCAGAAAATCCCACATCGGTCATTCACATGAGTGAGGAACAAACTCTCTTCCTGTTAAGACACTGGTGTTTTAGGATTGACTCATTACAGTGGCTAATCTTACCATTTCCTGCATCGCAATGGTAGTTAAACAATTTATGATTAGCTGTTTAAATCCACATCCTCATTAGATGGGGACTCTGTTGAGGGTGGGGACAAAATCTATTTTGTTCACTCCTGTACCCCAACAAGCAAGCACCCGACAGGCTTCTATTGGCTTCTGAAGAAGGGGAATTCACAAACTCACATTCATTTAGTTTAAAGGGTCACAGAGGCTGTGGGAGACAGGGTCAGAGCAGAATCTTACTCCATCTCCCTTCCCAGCCAGTGCTCTGCACCTGTTTTGACATCTTAACCAAGCTTTGACTATGTACTCATTAGAGCAACCAGAACCCGGAGCGCTGACAACCAGGTGCTAATGAGGATGTGGAGCAATGGAACTTCTCGCTCATGGCTGGCGGGAACGCAGAACGCCACAGCCACCTGGGAGGACAGCAAGGTGGTCCCGACTAAACTAATCATACTCTCACCATACGATCCAGCAATTGTGCTCCTTGGTATTTACCCAAAGGAGTTGAAAATTTTGTCCACACAAAAACCCGCAAGCGGATGTTTATGGCACCTTTATTCATAATTGCCAGAACTTGGACTCAATCAAGGTGTCTTTCAAGAGATGAACAGATGAATGAACTGTGGTGCATTCAGACAATGAATGTTATTCAGCACTAAAAAGAAATGAGCAATGTGGCCATGAAAAGACATGGAGGAACTGTAAATGCATATTGCTAAGTGAAAGAAGCCCATCTGAAGGCTACATGCTGTATGATTTTAAGTGAATGACATGCTGGAAAAGGCAAAACTATGGAAATGGGAAAAAGATCAGAAATTGTCAGGGGATGGAGGAAGGAAGGATAAATAGTTGGAGCACAGAGGATTTTTAGGGCAGTGAAACTACTCTGGAAGGTTCTATAGTAATGGATACATGTCATTACACATTTGTCCAAACTCACAGAATGTATCACACCTGGAGTGAGCCCTGAGGTAAACTATGGGCTTTGGGTGATTACAACATGTCAGTGCAGGTTCACCTATAGCAACTAATGTACCACTGTGGTGCCAGCATGTGGGCAATGGGAGAGGCTGAGTATGGGGAGGGGCAGAGGGTATATGGAAACTCTCTGCACCTTACTTTCAATTTTTCTGTGATCCTAAAACTATTCTAAGAAATAAAATCTATTTCTTAGAAAACAGGAACCTAGTTATTTATCTGAACTTGGTGTCTGGATCATGGACAGTGTTTAGGACAGGCGAGCAGCGGCTTGTGAGACAGCTGAGACATCTGTTGTTCCATGGAACGCCCTTTGCTGTGGGTGAGGTCAGTAGTGAAAAGAACCAAGTTCAGGGAAAGGAGTTATTTCCCCTTTTTGAGTTAAGTAAAACACATTATTATAATTAAATTCCGCCAGTTTCCTTTTGCTTTTTTAATGTTGATGCTAAGGAATTTTAAAAATACATTGGCGGCTTGTGTTTCTGGTTTAAGTTATATTTTTATTGGACGATGCTGTTTTAGAGAATCGACTGCCACATTCACACCACACATGCTTTCTAAAGAAGACTCAGAGGACAATGGACCCCTCCTCTAAAGCAAATTCCAAGCACAGGAGAGAATGTGACCAGGGGGCATGACTCAGAGACCTGGTTTGACCTGCCCTTTATGTCCCAAGAGGGACAGCTGACCTTCCCAAGTCTTGCTTTGCAGACTGGGCTAGACTGGCCTTCTGTGCCTTTGCGACTTCAGCCACTCAAGAAGTGTATGGTGCAATGGTTTTTGTGACATCACCCTCCCGTGTCATGTGTTTACTTATTAATTTACTAATTTTTATTGAGATAAAGTTGACATATAGCATTGTGTAAGTTTAAGGCATGTTAACCTAAAGATAAAAGGCCTTTCAAAGTGATAAGCAACAAGCATTTATTTGAGATCAATGAGAACAGCTGATTCAGGCAGAAGCCCAAATAGTGCTCCAAATAGGAGACAAAGATGATGGGTGTTTATGAAAAAGTGATGGGGAACAATTGTATCAATAGAAGTGACAGGGAACAATTGTATCAATAGAAGGAAGGTATTTCTATAGGTGCAGATAAGTGAACACAGTGACATTAATTCTAAACAATGATTCTGATTTTCAGTGTAGTAGTCATCAGTCCAGTAGTCATAATACCTGCTCTCCTGTTATCTTTGCAAACAGTTCTTTGGGACACAAGGTTACTTAGACCTAGTCCAAAGGTTACTTTGCTCTGTTTTAACATCCCAAAGTTTTGATAGATAGATAGATAGATAGATAGATAGATAGATAGATAGATAGATAGATAGACAGACAGACAGACAGACAGACAGACATGGGTGGATGACACAGACAGGTGACACTTAGATCATACGTACATTCTGACACAAAGATATGAGATAGACGATTGATAGACAGAGAGACAGAGACAGATATGGGTGAATGACACAGACAGATGACACTTAGATCAGATGTACACTCTGACACATAGATACAAGATAGATAAATGATAGACAGACGAGAGACCATGATGATTAAGTAATAGATGGATGGAGATAAAGGATAAATAGATGCAGATAGATGATAGATATAAATCAGAGAAAGCTAAATAGATGAGAGAGAGGGAGAAAGAGAGAGAGAGAGAGAGAGAGAGAGAGAGAGAGAGAGAGAGAGAGAGAGAGAGAAAGAGAGGGAGACATAGGTGTGGGAGGGGAGAGAGGGAAGGGGAAAGAAATCTTAATCTTATTTTGCCAACAAATAAGAGGATTTTAGATAAAACCCTCAAGAAATAGTTTCTATAACTAGCACACTCTGCTACTAAATGGATTTCTGAGGTACAATCAGTGACTCATTGATCTTGCAAAGGAAAATTAATGTCTTATAAGTGGGACTGAGTCAAAATTCTAGTTGGAATGATCATTTGAATTTGTGCATTTTGAATGTTTTTTTTGTTTGTTTTGCAAGAATACTATACTTACACATTTAATTGGTAAAGGAATGTTGTATGTTATAACAACAATAAGACCTTGTACTTAAGGAAAGAAGGAAAGTGAAAAGAAAGCTTTGCTATGAGTTCAGCATTTGGTAAAACCGAGTCGTGAGCTGGGGCAGAGATGCCTCCATGTTGGGCACTGAGTAAGGGTGAGGGTTGCCGAATGCAGCCTCGACTCTCCAGCAGAAAACTTTCAGGAAGCCATGCTCTTTTCTCAGCCTCCACCTTTCCAGAAAACTCATTATGGGCCTCATAACAGACAATAATAGGATTATAATTCTGGAAACATAATTATTTTGGATAAAATCTGCAAACTAAAAGTTATTCCATAATCTATCATAGAGAGGCCTATGTGAACTATGCTCAGAAATTATCATCCCAACTTAATTATATCAGAAGAAAGAAAACTGTTTGTATCTATGGTTGCTATGTTGTGTTGGTGCCTAGCACACCACATCCTATGCATGTGTTAGTTTTGTTTGGCTCTCGCTTTGTGTGCAGACAGGCATGATGCATCCTCTACCTTCATTATCTGCATTTCTCAGTGAGTCTGGAAAGGGAAGAGAGGAGAGGGTTGGGGTGGAAAACCCTGTCCTGAAGACAGCCCAGGGCAGGAGGTGGGAACCCGTGGGAGGCTGGGCCCCTCCGCCATCCCAGCCCAGTCCAGGTCACCAAGGCTTACAATGGGGCCCAGATGAAGGTGGGCCACCAGATGAGGGCTTCCTTCTAGGGTTCCCCCAAGGCCAGAGGACCTGGAAGCAAGCAGGTGAGTCCACTCCCACCCTAGGTTACTCTCTGAGCCGAATATCAAGGTTCTGGCAGAAGGAGCGGAGCACAGAGGAGTGGGCTGATGATCCTCGTGGAGAGCTTTGCAGCTGAGCAGGAAAAACCAGGAAGCGGAGATCCCTGGGCATTGCAGGCTCAGGTTCTGACCTGCAAACTCTCCCATTTGGCCGAGCCAAACAGGGGATGCTCAGAAAATGGAATCTCTGAGATCTGGTCAGCTACTCTTCATGATGAGGGTGGTGCCCAAGGCTGCAACATGCAGATGGCACCAAGGTCCAGCTGGAGAACCCGAGAGTTGACTGCAGGCCATTACCCAGTCGCAGTCCCAGGAAAAGAGCTAGTCAACACGGAATGACCATGCTGAAGCACTTTTGGAATATTTCAACTATTTTGGTGCAAACTCATGTTATTTTTTTTTTAAATTGAGATATAACTGACATAATTGGGACATAATTAGGAAATTTTTAATGTACTCAGTACCTTGCTAGGAATTTAACATGTATCATAAATGCTCAGAGGGATATTTTAGGGTTCTCATTTTAAATGTGAAGCCAGGTAGGCATCAAGTGGCATAGCACCTGGCCTAAGAATAGATGGTTAGTTTGTGGAGTTGGGACCAACAATGATGTCAGTTTGTTGCACAAATCCATGCTCTTCCTTGTCCCTTAGGTTAAAATGAGGTGTACACTCATCACTGGGGATGAGTTCAGCCTCATGCAAATGTGCAGATGGGTGTTTTAGAAGCCAAGGCCCTCCCCCTGTCTCATCAAGGAGAAGAGTAGGGGGAATGAGAGAGCAAAGCATTCTTCCCTTTTGTGGGAGGCAGTTGATGTAGAAACCCAGATGGGCCCCAGCCAACATATCCTGTTCCCTGTGTCAGCTGCAGGCTCTGTCCTTCCACTCACTGGCTCCAGGACGACGCAGGCTTCAGGGGCTGGCCATGTCCCTCCATCCCACCACCCTCCTGGGCCTCCGTGAGTCCAGAAAGGGAGGGACAGCCTTCCAGGGACAGATGGATGGGAGCTTGGGGAGGGATCTGTGTCCTTACTCGGTCCTGAGTCCAGTCCAGGAGACTTGGGGACCCTAGAGGAGCAATGTGATCCCCCAGTGACCTACCCCCTCAGCTCTGACCCACACCTAAGTCTGACCATGGAAGGTCAGTTCTAGAAGCAGGCTCCTGGGTATGGGGACAGGTTCAAACTCCATGAAGGGCTGGGGAGAGGGTATGCCTATTTGAAAGAGGAGATTGGGGATTAGTCTTGAGACTTTCAGAGCAAGGAGAAGGATTGTGCTCAGGTGGCATGTTGAAGAGCGGGGTTTGGAAATGACAAGAGGGGGACTGACCCCACCCTTGGCTCCACCAAGCTCCCCTTGATGGCAGCCTCATGAGGAAACTGGGCGCCAAGAGTGCTTCTCACTGGGGCTTCTCTTCCAGTGCTCTGTTTGGGCCAGACCATCCACACTCAGAATGGTGAGTCTACATTTTTTAATTTAGTTTTTCATACATGTTTCATTTTCTGGAAAAATATTATTTTCTGTAGAGTCCTCTCACGGTTCAACTTCATATAGAATGAGACTGTCTGTTCTCATGCCGTCCTTCTCTCTTATCTTCAGAGAATCTGGCTTCTTTTCACTTTCATAAATGCCATTTTCTCACTCTGCTGTGACCTCCTCCCAGGGTGACATCTGCACATTGCATGACCCGTGTCCCTATCGCTCAGCGTGGGTGGTTCATGCTTGGCCCTCCTGTCTCAGCTCAGTGCTTCCTCCCTCAGACTCCCAGACAGGTCAGCTCCACCTTCATCTGCTCTATCCCCACAACCCCCATGGTCATGCATCATGGTGCATAGCTGGATTTGCACAATTGCTTGATCAACATCTGTCCCCTCTCTAGACTTTCAGCCCAGGAAGGCAGGGACTCTGTGTGCGTTTCTCCTGTTTGGATCTAACGGCTCACGGAGCATCTGTAAACAGATCAGAAGGAACTAAGATAAGGTTGAAAGACAGTGAATGAATGAGTGAATGAATGGGTGACGAACCTCTGTCAGCTCCTGTCTCTGTCGACATTGACTTTGACGCCATCTTCCTGTTTCAGGGCTACGATCCCTCTCTGTTCTCCTTCCCTAATCCCCTGTCCCAGCCTTGCTCTCCTTGATGGCAGCCCCTTGAGGAGTTTTCAAAAGCCTAAATAACAAGGCTGAGACGAAGGTAGAAAATACAGTGGGACCAGAGGTGATGTAACACAAAGGGCCTACACTAGGGACAGGAATCCTCATCTGCTGGGGTCTTGTGACCTGATCAGGGATGGAGCTCCAATCCCCACCCCCACCCCCACCTCCACATACTGGAGCTCTGCAGAACTCCCTGAGCCCCCACACAGCTGCCCTTCAGAACCAGCCAAGGTTATTCCTACAGAGTCAGATCCTGCTTCCTTGTCCCCACAAGTGACCAGTTGTCTTCCTCCTGTGCTTCCCTCCCAGACCTCTCTGTTCCCCTAAAAAGTAGCTGTGGTCAAGGAGATATATCCGGGCCAACAGCCTGGTCTGAAAACTCCTGTTCCACCCTGGGAAAGTCCAAGATGCAACCAACACCCAGGGTCCTTGTGACATGTGGGGAAATACCTCTTGGGGTGATGGGGATTCATAGCCACCCAGAATGGGCATGGGGGTGTGTAGGGGGAGGGTAATGGAAGTGCTCCAAAATCCGGTTGTGCTGGTGGAGGCGCAGCTCTGTATGTTTGCTAAACACGCTGGAGTGAATACTTAAAATGGATGACTTGTGAGGCGTGGTGATTTCTTCTTGATGGACCTGGAATCCCACTTTGCTTCCCTCCCAGAGGTCCTGCCCAAACCCTCCATCCGTGCCAAGCCAGACACTGTGGTCCACCGGGGGAGGCTTGTGACCATCGTGTGCCAGAGTTCTGCTGGGGCTGACAGATTTCGCCTTGAAAAGAAAGATCAAACAGATCAGTACAAGGATCAGACAAACGTGTCTCAACATGGTTCACAGGGGACAGAGGCCAGATTCCACATCACAGCAAGTGAGGTCACTGCTGGGCATTATTTCTGCCGCTATCAAAAAGGGAACAAGTGGTCCGAGATCAGTGAGCTCCTGGAGCTGGTGGTGACAGATGAGGACGTCTCCGCTCTGCCCTCAGGTTTGTCCCAGGCCCCTGGACCCTGTCCCCAGCTGCGTCCACTGTCCACAGTCCCCCTACTCTCCTGCTGACCCCCAGTCCCTCTGGCTCCCCTGCCCCTCTGCACACACGTCCCTTGGCTGTCACACCAGGCTCGGGGCCCTGGGGTCCTGGTCCCACATAGACACCACGATGGCCAGGACACTGAGCCCAGTATCAGGGCGGAAAGGGAGGTAACTCTGCTGGGCTAGGTGGGGAGTGGGCTTCCGGACACCAGGTGGAGACAGACCTGGTTCAAGGGAACATGTGTCCTTTCTCTCAGGATGCTGTTAGGCTTTTCTTTCCACTGGGCCAGACTCTGTGGGGCCAGGCATGTGTCCCCTGTGGTGTGGTCCACCCTCCACTGGACAAGTCACATGCTCCAGGGGGCCCTGATCAAGGCAGGATGGTGCTTTGGGGACCTTTGGGCTGAGTCTTTCTTTTCCTTTGTGTGGTCAGTCCCTGAGATGTCCTTGACTCAGAGTCTATTGGGGACACTCCGACCCCCTCCATGTCCTCCCAGGGTCTCAGAGGAGCTGCTCCCTGCTGATTCTAGGAGGTCAATCGATGGGAGGGGAGCAGTGACCACCTCCCAGCAGAATGGAGTAGGGGCCTCTCTCTGTCTCCTGTCCCTCCCTACTTTCTCAGGAATCTCAGGATGTCCTTTGGGATTGAATGATGGCCAGACATGGCCTGCAGGTAGACACTCAGGGTGGAGAAACGCCAAGCTGAGTGAGATGGACTCCAGGCAGCCCCTCCACATCAGCCCTTCTCCTACCTCCTTCACAGGACCCACCAAAGTTGTCAGCTCCACCCTTTGTACATACACAAAGTCCTCCTCTTCAGCTGGTGATTAGAGACCTAAGCCTGGAGGGGATTGGGGGAAGGCTCTGCTCTGGGGACCAGGCTCTGCTAGAATTAGGGACTGTAGGGCCATAGCATGGGGCTGCCAACTACAGGGCACTGGATGTCACTAACATTTATAGCAACCTTGACAACAACACAAGCAAGACTGAAGAACTCTGTGGCAGGCTCTGGAAAAACAGCTCTGCCAATGGCAGCCAATGTGGGAGGTGCACGTTCTCCCAACTTTAACGATAATTAATTAGAATGAACAAAGAAACACACATATGTCTATATGTGCAAATATAAATATAAATGTGTAATTTACAATGCAAAATTTCAGATCTATAAATTAAATTATGTTAGTGTATATATTTAGATTATATATTAAATATAATTAATATAATAAAACACATTAATATATCGTTACAAGTGAATATAGAGACATTATTATATTATATGTTGTACATTATATCCCATATTAATAAAATTAACATACACAAATGTTTATAATATAAACATTATATATTGTATAATAAATGTATGTAATCGATATATATACAACTTATCTGGTATAAGTTCTTTTAAATTACATATAATTTAAAATAGTTATGCAATTTAAATTATAGATATAGAAGTCAAATCACATAATTTAAAATATATATTTATATTTATTTAATAATTACACATTAAATATATAATATGGAATATGGTATAAATATAGAAATGCATTGTAATATAGTATTCTTATGACGTATATTATACATACATTGCACATACATATATAATTTTAAATTGTGGTAGATGTCACGAAGGGAAGGAAAGGCAGCGGCGTGGGGATAGCGGGTGGGATCGTGGATGGTGGACCCAGCACAAGGTGATGAGAGAAGGGCGCCCAGGGAGGTGAAGGTTCCTGCCTTTCTTAGAGGACAACGAGGACGCAGCCTCTGGAGCAGCGGGAAGAGCTGGAGCCCTGTTCGGGGAAAGGGAATGGTGGGCGGGATCTCGTACCCTGTGCGTGGGCGAGCCGGCGGCACCCGGATGGGCCCACCTGTGAAATGGGTACTGACATGCCCGCGCAGAGGGCATGGTTACACAGTGCATGCCCCAAGACGAGACCATGGCTAGTGCTCGGTCAACTTGCCGGCTAACTGCATTGCCTCGGGCAACTCGAGGATCAGGTCTGGGCTTTCTCACTCACAGAGGGGCGATTCCACCCCCATCGGGGGCTGCCCTGGGAAACAAATCAGAGATGGGGATTCCTGCACTTGGGATGGGAACCCAGAACAAGGTCAGCAAGAAGAGGTCACACTCCCTGTTCCCACTGGGTGTCCTCTCTATAAAGTGCCAAAGGTCAGAGAGCAACACTGTCCCACACAACCTCCTGCGGAAGGAAGTGCATACCTGAGCCATTCCGTGAGACTGTCACCAGCCAGGTATGGCCACGGAGCCCTTGAAATGTGGCTGGTGCAGCTTCCTTTGCTCTAGAACCTCACCTGCTCCCTCTAGTACAGCGCTGCCCCTGGAAGTCCCTGTGGGGGGATCGGGACACTCAGAGGTAGAGTGTTTCCATCTTCACAGAAAGTTCCAGGGGCAGCGCTGTTCTAGAGGGAGCAGGAGAGGTTCCAGAGCGAAGGAAGCCCCTGTGGGGGGATCGGGACACTCAGAGTCCCCTCTGTATAGCTCAGGCCTTTGACTCACGCCTTCCTGATTCCTCCCTCCTAAGTGGTATGCAGTAGATACTCACAAGTGCAAGCTGCTGATACTCCGGTTCCATCTTCCTTACACCCCCAGGCCTGTCGACAGAAAGTGTTTATATTCTCATTGGGATCTCTGTGGCCTTTCTCTTGTGTCTCCTCCTCCTGGTCGTCCTGTTAGTCCATCGTCTACGTCAGAAAAACCACGGTAGGCCTCAGGGTGGGGTAGTGTGACCTAGGCAGGCTCTTTGGGGTGCTGGGCAGATGGCCTCCCTTCTAATTCACACCCCTGACTGTCCTCAGGCCCCCCCATCAGCAATGGCGAAAAGCAGAGTCCTCAGGAGAGGTGAGGCCCCCAAGAACAACCACCAGGCCCTCTCCCGGTCCTTTGCCTCTGGGAGCCCCCTGTGCTCACTTGTTCTTTCTCCTCAGGTTCAGCCCAGCTATTGACATCATACAGAGGACACCAGGTAAAGGGATGAAGAAGGGGGACAGGCCTGGGACAGGACAAATGGGCATTCAGTGCCACTCAAGACACTGTTGGTGGAGGGGAACCACTTGAGGATATTCTGTGATATTCTAGATGAGGTTGGGGAAGAAATCTGAATCTGTGAGGTTTCAGGCAAATTTGCCTTCTAAGGTCCACCCCAGAGAACTGACCACTTGCCCTTTCCCCTCCAGATGTGGCCACAGTCGGTAAACTTCCCGAGGGAGACAGGAAGCTGCACGCCCTAGTAAGTCCTTGTATTAGTCACCTGTTGCTATGTAACAAAATACTCCAGTTTTAGCAGCTTCACAAAATTATCTGTTTCTTGGGTCAGAAATTCGGAAGAGGATTAGCTGGGGGGTTCTGACTCTCACGAGGTTGCTGCCCTGATGACCGGGGCTGCATCTGTCTGAAGGTTTGACTGGGGCCAGAAGGCCCACCTCTGACAGCGTGCCGTCTTAGGGCTATGGGCCAGATGCCTCGGTCCCTCCACACATGGGTTTCTCCATGGCAGCTGGTCTCTCCCTGAGGGCAGGGCCCCAAAGAGTGAAGAGCAGAAGCCACCATGTCTTTCGTGGCCCTCCTTGGAGATGACATGCTCTCATTTCTGCCATGTTCTACTGGTCACACAGACCAACTCCGATTCTGTGTGGGAGGGGCCTACATAAGGGTGATTTCATCCCAGGGGTGAGGGCACTGGGAGGCTGACTGCCACAGCCTTTCCTTCCCACAGCCCCCTCCCCTCATCCTCGGCCAGACTAATGCACCCTGGGCCTCTCCCTCAGAGCCCTGCTGCAGAAGACCCCCAGGAGGTGACATATGCTCAGCTGGACCACCAAGTCCTCACACTGAGGGCAGCTGGAGCCCAGTCCCTGCAGTCCACGGAGCCCACAGCTGATGCCAGCACGTATGCAGCCCTTGCTAGACGTTGACCTCAGGCCCACCTGTCCTCTGCACCTAGAGACACAGGAAGTCACTCCCACAAAAGCCTGAAGCGGCTACTTGGAGGGGTTCCCTGTGGAGTCATCCCTTTCTAGAACATGGCCCAGTCAATTCTGCAGGCAAGAGCTGGCCTCTGGAGGCCCGTGATCAGCATCTAGGAGATTTGCTAACCAGGAGGCCCCTCCTATGATCAGCCAACTCCTTGGAGTGTCTATGCATGTACGTACTTGTTTCCAAAGACCCAGCCACAGTCCTGCAGTCACCCAGCTTATTCTAGACATGCCCTGTGAATCCCCAACTTACCCCAGAGACTATTTTAACTACTCTCTCGGCTGACTCTCAAGACCTTCCTGGAGTCCAGTTGTCAACCTTGAACCTGGGCTGTACTTAACGTAGCTGATAGATGAGGCCCTGATTTCTAGGTGCTGCTTTACCTTATTCATCAATAAATGTTTTCACAGACCTAACTATGACAGCTGCACGAGAAGCTGGGATATGCAAGTCCCTGGTCCCCAGTCTACCTCCATAAGTACTCAAACTTAGTGAGGGGAAAAGGACAGAAAAAAGGCGTCGGTGTGTGCTAATCTGAATGTATGTCTCAAGGATGAGTGAGGGAGACGCCTGAGGGAATATGTGGCTGGTGAAGGTGCAGCACGTACACCCTTACCCATAAATGCACAGGCTCATGAATACACATGCATGCACGTGTCCATGAGTGCACGAATGCACACACATACACACATTGCACAAACACATAACATATGCACACATCCATAAATGCATGCATCCACATATATGTACCCAGACACACCTGCATGCATGCACACACTGACACAAATGCACATACACATGCACAACCCATGAATGCACCTATGCACACTCAGACACACAGACGCATGCACACATGCTACAAACATACACGTGCACGCACTCATGAATACATCTACGCACATGCATATACACTGACAATTGCACACACTGTACAAACATATACACACAGACACATGCCCACTAATATGCACATGCACATACACAGACCAATGCACACACACTACAAACACATACATACATGCACACGCCCATACTCATGGACACATGCGTGAACTGAGTGAGGGTTTGGCAAGGCCATGATTGTACAGGAGGGCCCCTCAGGCTTTCAGTCCCCTCAAAGGAACATGGCAGTTTTCACCTGCCGTCTTCACCTTAGGTTCATCCCCAGTGGATGCCACACATTCGGATCCATCCACACAAAAGGATCCATTTAGCTCTTGGACATTGTCCTTGACCTGACCTTCACTCACCTGGCTAATGCCCTTCAAGTCTGGGATTGGAGCTGTTCTTCCCAATAAGCTTGCAATGATGAAATGAGAGCATTATTTTTGTGGCTCTGTATGTGTGTATGTGTTTGTAGTGTGTGTGCATGTTTCTGTGTATGTGCATGTGCACATTCGTGGGCATGTACATGTGTGTATGTATTTGTACAGTGTGCGCATGTGGCTGCTGTAACAATCGCCACACACTTAGTGGCTTCAGATAAGACAGTTCATGGTTCGGGATGTCAGAAGTCTAAAGTCAGTTTCTCTGGCTGAAATCAAGGTGTCAGCAGAGCTGCACTCTCTCTGGGGGCTCCAGGGGAGAACCTACATTGTCACCTTTTGCAGCTTCTAGGGGACATTTGTTTGTGGCCCTTCCTCTACCCTCAAGGAGCACTGCAGCGTCTTCAGATCCCGCTCTCCATAGAACTGCTTCTGCTGTCACATCTCCTTCCCTCTGTCTCTGGTGTTCCTGTCTCCCTCTCATAAGGACCCTGGTGGTGACTTTGGGCTACCCAGATAACGAGGATCAGTTCCCCAGCTTTAGACCTTTAATACAAGCACACTTGCAAAGACCCTTTTGACACACAAGGTGACACAGCAGCTGGCTCCAGGGATTCGGACCTCGACATCTTTGGGGGCCGCTATGCTATTTCCCTGAGTGGGTGCCGGCCCTCAGCGCTGCCCTTGTCCGTGGGCTTCCTCTGGGCTTGAATGTGTCACTCTGAATCCTGCCACCCGCAAGAATATTTTCTTTCACCACTGGTTATGAAATGTCAGATATTTGAGAGTCCGATGAATTTCTGAATCCCTAGAACTTCCACATAAGAGGAGGTCAGGCAGGAGGCAGTAGAGACTAGAAATAGCCTCCCTCCCAGGTGGCCCCTGTGTGACAGGACTGTGGCTGCTCCCCAGCACCATGTCCTCCCTTTCTGGTCTCCAATGAGACTACCATTGCAGCCCCCCTCACAGTTTGGTGTGTCCTGGGTTGAAATTTAGCCAGTGGTGTGTGAGCAGGGTGACAGAAGCTGCTTTTGGTTCTGTCCCATAAACCTTTCTGCACAAGACCTTCACTGCTCTGCCCTTTGCTGGCAGATACTCATTCCTGGGTGACCCTGAAAGCCTCACGTAGAGGGTGGCACCGGGTTCCAGGATAACTCTGTGTGGCAGAGCCTCTGTACTCATTTGGATTAGCCATGTTCCAGGCATCTGCAAACTTCATGCCTCTGATGTGTCCTACAGGTATATGCCACTCTCACCTTGTCCTCTGTGACCCTGAAACATGTCTCCTGCCTCCTCACTGCACCCTCTCCTGAGCAAGAACCCTCTTCCTGGGGTCAGTTTTCAAACACAAACCAGCCAGTCTTGAGCCCACAGCACCCCGCCCCCCCACATCCTTTCTGAGGCTTTCACACTTGGGGCTACTACCAGTATGCCCTAATCGCTCCAGGACACTCACCAGACAGCTAGCTTCATGCCCTCCACCTCAGAGCCACTGAAATGATTAAACAGTGGCTCCTGAGCCTGCTCCCCTGTCCCGCCACCCACCCGTTCCTTCTTCTGCAAACCACATCAAAGCTCCATCCTCCTGGGAACTGTGAGCGATAAGTTCTTCAACGGCCATCAGCCTTACTGTCCCTCCAATTTCCTGCCAACCACTCCTGCTGCTGAGCCAGAGTGACTTTCACCTGTTTACTTGGCTGGGAAACTGTCTTCTACCCCCGGGGAGTCACTATGCTTTGGGGTCCATTGGCTGTGACGGTTACACTCCTCCAATTATGCACATCCTGGCAGGAAGCAGACCTCGGGCCAGGGACGGGGTGTGGCTGCCTTGGCGCCTGTGTCGCTGAGCTTCCACCACAATCTGTCCCGCATT